GCACGTTTTCCAAAGAGAGGGGATTCCTCTTGCAGGTCCCTGCTGCCTGGGGTTTAGATTAGTCCCTTCCACAGCCCTTCAGCCCTAGACAGGGGCAAAGCACCTTTTGGAGTGGCCCCTTCTAATTTGGGAAGAGGCAGCCTGCCTGTGCCTGGACTCGGGGGCAGCTGTTCTGTGCATTGTCAGGCCCTGAGGTCAGCCCTGAGCTCTGTCGCAAGCACTCAGCGATGGGCCGTGCACAGGGAGCAGCTGCTCAGGAGGAGCCGCAGGCTGGGGAGCAGCTCGTGGCACCCATCCTGAGCTCCCCATGCGTTGTGTCTCAGGACGATGCCCCCGCGGACCCATCGGAGCGGTCCCAGCGCACCACGCTCAGCAGTACCTGCGCTGCCTGCCAGCAGCACGTCCATCTGGTCCAGCGCTACCTGGCCGAGGGCAAGCTCTACCACCGCCAGTGCTTTAGGTATGTGGTGGCCAGGCCTGGTGGGGTGGCTGCCCTTCTTGGCAAAGTGGAGGTCTGTGGCCAGCTGCACCCCATCTTGGAGTGTCTGTGTCCTTGGGCAACGTGGAGCGTTGATGACAGTGCCCGAAATGATACTGAAGAGGGCCTGTTTTCCTGCCAGCCCCCTGCCCCAGAGGTCTGACTGGCCCCTTGTGTCCCACCATGTGCGGCTTGCCTCCCCTGCTCCCTGCCTCCCCTGCTCTCTTGTGCTTTCCCACTTCACTGACTTGGGATCCCAGGCCCCTGTGCTTCTCCCGCCTCCGTAAACCGGGATGCTCTGCCTCTTTACCAGCCGCCTACCCAGAACCCTCACCACCACCTTCTAATGAGTTCTAAGCCAGGACATCATCCTACAGACCTCCTTCCACCCACATTCCACATCCTCGACTGGATGTACAGGCTCCCACGCTGCCTGGGGTGGTGCTGAGCTCTCAGGGGAGCGTGTGGAAAGCTGCAGACTGTTACCAAACCGAGGAATGAGGGATTAGACGTCAGCAGCTCTGCGGTTACTCCCTGGGTGCAGGTCCTTACCTGCAGCACCTGTGAAGTCATTTCACTTTGCTTTCCCTGCTCTGATGGTGAAGGGATGAGATCTCTCCTGTGGGCCAGAGGACAAGAGCTGGCAAGTGGGCAGCTGGCATCTGAGGAGAGAAATATTGAGCCGCTGGGAAGATACGGGAGGCCTCATTCATCTGTGTAAACAGTTCTTGCCTCAGCCAGCCGGGGATGTGTCATAGAAGCAGCATCGCAGGAAGGGAGCCGAGGCCCGTCAAGCTTCCCATGCACCTGGGGCAAGCGCAGGAGCTTTGGGGTGCAGGTGCAGCGTTGCTCACGGGCCAAGAATAGGAGGGGTGCCGTGTCTGCCTTGGCACACCTCGTGGCCCTTCAGACTGAGCAGTGAGATCCCTGTAATTTTATCTCAAGTGTTTTGCCTCCTTATGCTTTTGTTTTTCCCACCCTCCCTCCCCCCGGTGATTCGTGGGCACTGTTTGGTCAGGAATGTCCTGTGGCAGCGTTTTCTGTGGGCTGATGCAGATAAAACCAAATCAGACCTCTTTTTCCCTTTGTCTGAACTTGCCACCTCTTCATTTCATCACAGCCCTTCTCTCTAGAGCCCCTGTGTCCTCACACTTCTGCCCTATGTTTCAAAGGAAATCCCAGTCAACCCAGAGCAGAATTCCTCACCGAAATCATCTGCCTGCAGTGTAGGGCAGCCAGCTGCTGTGAGTGCCAGGTATTCAGACAAGAAGGGACAAGCGTGGTTTTCATGGGAGTGCTTGATCAGCCCCTTGCCCTTGGCTCTCTTTCACGTATGCTATCCACCTCCCTTCCCGGGTGGAAAAGGAAGGGCTGACTTGGTTGCCAGCGCTGCGTAGTACGCTTGCGCCTGGAGGGCTTCGTTAGGGAGGATTCAAAGGTTCAGTGGGGAAACAGTGGGTGATCCAAGGAGATGTGGCAGACGGCAAAGGACGGGGATGCTATTAGCCCAGTTTCAACAGGCAAGGCAGAGCGTAAGAACGGCCCCACTGCGCCATTCCCTCGTCCTTCCAGCCAGATGCCGTGACGCTGGTGGGCGCCGTGGTCAGCACCAGCGAGGGTGAGCGTGAGACCAGGGTAGGCTTGTGTGCTGCTTCCGACTGCTCTTCAAGCCCCCAGCACGGGGATTTCCCTAGTTGGAAGTGGCATCATTTTATTTAATACTCAGAGCTGGGGGGGTGGGGGATGTGTTGTTTTTTTTTTTCCCACCACAAATGTGGCTGATGGTTTTTTGGCCCCGGCAAGGCAGGCTGGAGCCCCCCTGTGCCGGTTCCGAACCAGCTGCTCCCTAATTCCAGCTGATAATCCCAGTTTCGTGTCTGTGAATGGTTGATCCCTCTCCCCCTCCCAGGGCCACCTGTGATCTTGTAGCTCTCTCTCCTGTCCCCCACCAGCTGCATCTTTTCCAGGAAAACTGTGGGTTTCTGTTTCTCCAGGTCTGGAAAATGTGCTGTAGCCCAATACCAACTGTTGCCCTTCCACATCTATTAAATCCTTTCCAAGCTTAGGGAGGAACCCAAGAGCACGCAGTATTTGAGTTGTGAACTCCCCATGGGTTCATACAGTGGCATGGTGATGTTTCTCTGTTCCTCTTCTTTCCTGAGTGACTTCCCCAAGACCGCACTAGCCTTCAGTAACAGGGGTGGGAACTAACTCCACGGCCCTGTGTGGATCTCCTGGGTGCGTTGCCTTCCCTGAGGGACAGGATGGCGTCCCCCTTCTCACAGGGTTCTCTCTTCTCCTTGGCAGGTGTAAGGAGTGCTCCAGCACGCTGCTCCCAGGGTCGTACAAGCCCGGGTCAGAGGCAGGGACTTTTGTCTGCACACAGCATCGTGGTAAACTGGCCATGAGTGGGAAGGCAGAGAGGAGGCCCAGCCCAGACCGACGGTCGCCGGAGCTGAGAACTGAAACTGGGGCTGGCAGCGTGGGTGAGGATGCCCTCCCCGCAGGAGCAGAGGTGGGGAAGGGCGACGGCGACTCCATGGAGAGCATGGCAGAGACCCAGATGCCCGCAGAGGGGCTAGCTGGCCCAGCGGAGAAGGACAGCACACCCGGCAGAGCAGAGGCAGCGATGGCCCCTGCTCACGCAGGCAGCGGGGTGCCCGTCTCCCAAACTCCCCCCAGACCTCCCCTTCCCAGCAAGCCCACAGCGCTCACCCAGGAGAAAACCAGCTCGCTGGACGGACGGCTCAGAGACACACGGCCCACCCCTGCCCCGAGGAGGGCCACAGATGCGTCGGCACTGTCCCCTCCGACCTCCCACCCCGTCCCCCGGCCAAGGTCCACTCTCCAGGGCGAGGGCAGCGAGTGTGGACCTGGCATGGTGAACGGTAAGAGAGCACAGTGGCAGCAGGGGTCCGAATAAGTCTGGCTCGGACACCAAGCCTTTGGTTGCCAGCCATCCCGGTAGCGGGGAGAGCAGCGCTAGGTTTCACTCCTGCCTGCTCCCTTATGTTTCTCCAGAGCTCTCCAGGGGGTGCTGCCAAGTGTGGAGGCAAGGTGGCAGTGCCGGAGCAGTTTGCAGTGTGGGGACAGAGGGTTCTCCAGGTGCAGCTCCTAGGGTGGGATGGGGAGGAAAAGGCAAAGGGGATGTCTGGGGTTGACTGCACCGACTGTGGGAGAAACGCCATGAGGTCTTCAGAGGGTGGGAATAGCCAGCCTCCCACAGGGAGATGTGTAAGAGGTGCCTCGTGTTGATTTAACCTCTTTCTTCATGTCCTTTTGGTGTTGTGACAGTCTGACCCTGTGTCTTTCTAGGTAGGGTACCTGAACCCAGCCCCCCTGTCCCAAAACCCCGAGGGAGACCCTGCTCCTCTGATCGGTACGTCCTTCTGTTCGCAGATCACCTGCAAACCCCGAAGCAAGGTGGGGCTGTGGGCACGGCTCAGCTGTGGTCTCCTCTGCCAACTCCATCAGCCCCTGCTCTGAGGAGGATGTAGGCTGTGATCAGGTCCTTTCCCTTGCCGAACGGGTGCCAGCCCAGTACAGTCAGGCTGACAGCGTTTGTCGATACCTCACAGGGTCTTTGTCTCTTAGGGTTTGTAAAGAAGTTTGAGGGCTTCAGAAAGGCGTTTCTGTGGCACGTGCAGACTGCCGAGTGCCTTCTGAAATGGCCCTGCTTGTGGGTGCTGAGAAGGGGACGCTTGCCTCCCTGGTGGAGGGTTTGTCCCAGGGAAGGTGCCATGCAGGGACATTGTGAGTGCCTGGCTGCAACTTTTACACCTCCCGGGCTCTTACCCAGTAGCCTGCTGGTGATGGTTCATTCTTGCCTGCACTTGGGACAGGGGTTGCACAAGCACCCCGCGTTCGAAACAGCCAAGGAGCCGGGTGCGTGCGGCGAGTGATGGCCGCTTTCCTGATGAGCAGTGATTCACTGAGTCGCGGTGCGGGCTGTGCCCCCAGAGGAGCAGCGGCACTTCCAGCCACGGGGGTTAGCAGAGAGGAGTCCGTCCCTGGGACGGTCGGATGATACAGCGGCAAAGAGCCCTCTGAAGCGTAAGAAGGGAGCGTGACCGCAGAGGGCGGGTGTCTGATCTCGACTGCCCCTCCATCCACAGCCTGGGGAGCAAAGCTGGGTGTAGGAACGGCGTTGGGGAGGGGAGAACAGCTGTGCTCGTAAAGCTCAGCCTGTACTGCTGCTCAGCAGATGGAGGCTGTAATGTTGAGAAACCAAAATGCTGGGCCCAGCGGGCAGTCAGGCAGGCTGTGCTTCCCTGAGGCCCGTAGGTCTGCCTGCAGAGAATCAGACTCTTTGTGTCTGAGGAAGACTAGGGGCACCCTTGGATGCTTCTGCATGGGAGACATCCTGCTCCATCCGTCATTTTCCCTGAGGGCTCAGTCACTCTCCTGTGCCTTGCCATCCAAGCTTGACTCTGCTCCCTGCCACCTCGATCTCTCTCTTCCCCCAGTGCTGGAGCTGCTGCAAGGGCCAAGGACCCGCCGTGGATGGCCTTAGTGCAAGCAGAGACCAAGAAGAAGCCAGCTCCCCCTCCTCCCCCAGGCAGCAGCCATGAGACTCCAAGTAGGACTTCAGAGGAGGAGGATGGGGAGGAGGTGGGGAAAGCCAGGAGCGAGGAGAGCAGGTCTGATGCCACAGAGCCCAAACCGTACAACCCCTTTGAGGAGGAGGACGAGGAAGAAGAGGAGAGTGCTGCTGCCCAAAAGAGCACGCCTGAGCAGGAGCAGAGTGAGACTGCTGCCAAGCCCCTCCACCCCTGGTACGGCATCACTCCCACCAGCAGCCCAAAGGCGAAGAAGCGGCCAGCTCCGCGAGCCCCCAGTGCTTCCCCGCTAGGTGAGCTTCCCCCCATTCCCTTATCCCTCCTCCGCAAGCCCTGTGCAGCCCCTTGGAGGCTCCCGCTTCCCAGGCACCTCTGCATCACCCTGGCAGGCCAGGCCTTTATGCACTGATGATTGTACTGGGACTTGTGCTAGCCATGTCCTCTGTACCCACTGGAGCACAGCATTTGCAGGCAGGACTTTGCGCTGCAACGTCCCTTCTGTCTTCTCTGAAGACAGACAGACACCGGTTCCCTTTGCACTTCCCTCAGCCTCCAGTACATACCGCTCTCCCTTTCTCTCCTGGCTGCCCCCCGTTCCTCCCTGAGCTCTCCCTTTGCTTTGCAGCCCACCACCCCATCTCCAGGCTGTCGCACTCCGAGCCGTCATCCTCCACCCCGTCTCCAGCCCTCAGCCTGGAAAGCATCAACTCTGAGAGTTCAGCCAAGGTGCTGGGTGACACCGACGAGACCTCAGTGCCCAAAAGCTCCTCCGAGCCCACTGTCCACACGCCGACAGCCACCAAGACCTCTAGCACTGACACGCCACTGGCCAGCGTCTCTTCTAGCGAAAGCCATGCTGACCCAGCCAGCCTCTCCACCAACTCCTCCTTCTCCTCCTCCAGTGAGCTGGCCAGCTTCAGCGGCGAGGCGCAGCCCAGCACCCTGCACGCCAGCAGGAGAAAGCCTCCTGCTGGGGCCAGCCCTACACCCATGCTCTTGGCTTCAGATGGGGGAGCTGGGAGCCCTAAAACGCCCTCCTCACCCAAGCCACAGCTGAAGGTGAGATGGTGACCTTCCTCCCATCCAGATCCAGGGTTTTCTTCCCCGCCTATCACTTGGTCACAGTGGGGATCGTGAGTCCAGGTGTGCCCCTTAGGTAGGTTTGGTGTGTGACCCCCTGAAAGGAAGCCTCAGGCATGTGCTCATTAAATGGTGGCTCTGCTGCCCCACGCGCTAGAGAAGAGGCGGAGCGTGATGTGGTCAGAGCAAATGGGAAGGGAACCATGAAGGAAAACAGTTCAGCATGCTTGTTTGAGAGAAGCACGGCTGTTTTTTGCCCCGTGGCTGGGCTGCTGGTGGAGATCAATGCTGTGTTCCTCCTCTGGGAGGGTGTGGGGCAGGTCAAACCCTAGGGCTGCCCTGTCTGCTCAGTCCCAGCTGTTGGGATGCTATAGCCCTTCTCTTTCCCAGATCCTCACCTATCTCCTTTTCTCTCCCCTCTCCAGTCTTCCTGCAAAGAGAACCCCTTCAACCGGAAGCCGTCGCCTGCCGCCTCTCCCTCCGCCAAGAAACCTCCCAAGGGCTCCAAGCCAGTGCGTCCTCCCGCACCAGGTCATGGCTTCCCACTGATCAAACGCAAGGTAAAAGGTGGGGCAAAAGCCAGCTCCGTACTGTCCCCCAGGGCCATAGCTGCATTCAGGCACCCTGCGGATGCATGTGTGGGTAGGGGTTGCACAGGTGGCTGTGGCTGGGGAGGATGGTATCTAGGCTAGACCCCATTGATAGCAGCACCGTGGTCTCCTTTTGCTCCAGAGTGGGGTGGGGATTTCGAATCCTCACTTAGCTGGAGTGGTCTGTTGTCCCTCTGCCCCCGTTAGTCTTGACCAGCCTTAGGGTTACCCCTGGAAACTGGAGGTTGATGGTAATGGAAGTCTCTGCCTTGCGGCTTGGCAGGTGCAGACAGATCAGTACATCCCCGAGGAAGACATCTATGGGGAGATGGATGCCATCGAGCACCAGCTGGACCAGCTGGAGCACCGTGGGGTGGCCTTGGAGGAGAAACTTCGCAGTGCTGAGAATGGTATGTGGGGTGCGGTGGGCTAGGTGTGGGTGTGGGGCAGGATGGACTGTAGGGCTGCACTGTGTGCAGCCAAGGAGATAGCGGCAGTGACTTCCTGATGATGCTGGGGTTGGAAGAGCATGAGGGGCTGTGCTGGGCTCCAAGAACGGTCACAACCATACCCTGGACATGGAGATGTCCCTAGAGTGTATCAGGTGGGAGAAGAGATAAGGTCTCTCTGGGGGCTCAAGAACAGGCTGAAGTCAGGTTGGCTCTAGCCCAGTGCCCCTCACTTGGCTTGGTAGAGCCCATCCTGCTCAGGGTGATGGGATCCTGCAGCACTGGGGATGGCTCTGAATTGTCCCTTTGCTTGGCAGACAGCCCTGAGGACAGCCTGCTGGTGGACTGGTTCAAACTCATCCATGAGAAGCACATGCTGGTGCGCCACGAATCGGAGCTCATCTACATGTAAGTGTGTGCGGGCGTGTGGGGAGGCACCGACACTCTTGTGGCAAGCAGACAAATGTATCCAAGCACACTCGGAACTGTCCCACTGCGAGTCACCAGAGCCCCTGCAGTGTATCCTTCAGAAAGGCCTTGAGCAGCCAGGGCTGGTCCCCGCTGGCGCTCGGCTTCCTGTCCCTTTGGCTAGACGGGGTAAGATCAGCATCTCGGTGGTTCTGTCCAAGCTCACCCTGTCCCTTGGGATGATGTTCTGCCTGTCTGGAGCCTTGCAGTGGTTCCTGGCACTGCCCCCTTCCCTTGCAGCTTCAAGCAGCAGAACCTGGAGCAGCGGCAGTCGGATGTGGAGTATGAACTGCGTTGCCTCCTCAACAAGCCAGGTAAAGCATTGCTCTGGGTGCAGTTACCTCCATTTTGCCCCTGGGTGTCATCTCCCCTCTGTCTAGGTGGGTCTGGGGTGAAGAGAGACCAGATCTTTAGAGATCCCAGTGTGATCAGCTGGCTTTAGAGCTGCTGCCCCATCTGATTGCATGCGCCAGCCTTGTTTTGTCCCCAGGGGATGTCACCTACAGGGCTCTGCCTCCGCAGCACTGCTAGCCCAACTGGCTCTGCAGCACGGCCGCGTAGCAGGTGATCGTGTTGGGGGATCTCTGCCCCAAATCTCTGAATTTCAGAGCTCCTTCAGCCATTTAACTGCCTGTCCTTCTTCGGGATTTGGCTGGGTAGAGAAGGACTGGACCGATGAGGACCGGCAGAGGGAGAAGGTGCTGATGCAGGAGCTGGTGACCATCATTGAGCAGAGGAACGCCATTGTGAACTGCCTGGATGAGGACCGGCAGAGGTGAGTGAGGAGTGGGGTGGGGAGGGCTGTGGGAGAGGGGCAAAGCGTAGCCCGTCTGACTTGGCGCTGCACGAACGGCTCATGGGGGTGTCCCAAGATGTCCGTGTTGCTGATGTCTTTCCCAGGCTCCCTGATTCTTGTCTGTTTGAATGCTCTGTGTGGGAAAGACAGGGCAGTACTTGCAGCACGTGGGATTTATCCTGCTGGTAGCAAATGCTCGCAAGACAGTGATGGATCTGCCCCTCTGTGGCTTATAAGTAGGAGGTTCTCTAGCCTGAAACAATACAGCAGCTGTTTTCTGGGCTGAATTGCTGACCTATTTCCCACTCTTTCTTTCAGAGAAGAGGAGGAGGATAAAATGTTGGAAGCCATGATTAAAAGGAAAGGTAAGAAACAGTCGGGAAGATTTTTGGAGTGATGGTTTCACTGCTGACCCCAACAAGGGGCAGCATAAGCCATTCATGAAATTGCGTGCAGGAGAGGTTGAATCTGTGTAGACTCTGGAACCTTTCCTGTAAGGCTGTTAAAGTTTGGGGCACAGTTGTGCTGTGCACCCTGTTACCACAGGAAGAAGCGTGCATACAGCGGAGGGCTTTGATTCACAGCTCTCACCCTTGCCCCCGTTGTCCTGTGCGTGCGTGTGTGTGTACAGCCATCACCATCCCGCAGTAACAACCTCCCTTTGCAACCCCAGAGTTTCACAAGGAGACGGAGACCGAGAGCAAGAAGAAAGGCAAATTCAAGCCCATGAAGGTGCTTAAGCTGCTGGGCAACAAGCATGACTCCAAGAGCAAGTCGCCCAAGGAGAAAAGCTAGAGCAGGGGAACACCAGCAGTGGGAGGGATGTGCTGCCCGACCGCCCTGGCCTCCCCACAGCTGGCTGGGATCCCTGCCAGGAAGGGGGGCTCGTCTCCCTCCCCTCCCCTCGCCTCTCCCCAGACTCCCTCCCCAGGCACCGGAGCTGCTGCCCTAGGGAGACGCCAGCCCTCTGCCCGGAATAGGGGTGTCCAGCCAAAAGCTCCCCTTCCCGAGGCTGCGGAGGAGCCTGACCATCCCCTCTGCGAAGCCTCGCTGACGAGGCGGGGAGAGACGGATTCGCTTTTTGGATACGTTGCCCCGTTGCGTGTTCTTATTATTAACTGAGAAGCAAGCCAAGGAGTTTGGCGTTTGTGGGAAAACTTGCACTAACTGCCCCATCGTCCCTTCTCCCGCTCTAACTGTGACAGTTCCATGTGCCTGCGACCTCTGCCAGGAGGGGACTGGGCCTGTCCCTCCCTGCCCGCCCGCTCCTGTCCCCTTACTGTCCCATTTTTAACTTCAGGAGAAAACTCTGGCATTAGAATCAGGATTCTTCGGGTTTTACTGGCCTAATCTAAAATGTTAAGAAAACAGTCCCACAGCACATGGCTCTAGAGCCATAGCCAGAAAAATAACTGGTGCCCTATTTATTTTGAGCTGTCCCCTCCCTCGGGTGCCAGGGCTGGGTGGGCTCCATGACAGGGCTGAGAGGACCCAAGGGGACGGCATACAGCTGCGAGGACACGTAGCTGACACGCCCTACTCAGGACATCTTATCCCCACTGCTGCTAAACACCGCTGACTCTGCTGCCTTCGGGGGGAGGGAGGAACTTTCCTTTTCCAGGCAAGGGCAGAAAAGCTGAAGACTGGCTCAGTGCTGGCAAGGGGCACTAAGCTTGTGCCCCCGCTCACCAGTGCCACCCCTGAGCGGCTGGGGAGAAAGGCACGGTCACAACTGACCTTTACCCAGCTTCACCTGTGTATGCTTTAAAAGTGTGCAAGGTTTGGCTGGTTATTTTTTACACCTCCTTTACTAGATGAATTCAAACCCACCCTAGAACTTTTTAAACCCCTTATTTTATTTGTCATGTGTGCGTGTGTGTGTGTGTAGAGTGGAGGAGGGAAGGGAGGGCGGTGTTCTTCCAACCATCCCTTCTTCCTTCCATTTTTGTTTCCTGCCTTCTCCTCCAAGGCGAGGAGTTATTTATTGAGTTGTCGGATCAGCCTGAATTAGATTTTCATGGGTGTTTGGTTGGTCAGCTGTTCGTCATGCCTTCTCATTAGCAAATTAGACATAACCAGCCCCGAGCAAACTGCTGCAGTCCCTTCTAAAAACCCAGCAGGCTTTAGCCAAAACGCTCTCGGAGCAGTGCCTTGCAAGGTGGCTGGCGTAGCATTCTGGAAAGGGATCCTCGTTCCCCAAAACCTGAGGGATACCCGAGCCCCTCCTCGGTCCCAGCATGGCCCCTGTGGCTGGGAGGTGGCAAGCTCAGCCCCACGCTGATGAGGAGCAGTGGGAGGGGAGGGGAAGTCTCAAAGCACAACTCTCCTCCAAAGAGAAACAAACCCGCTTCAGAGCCTGCTGTCACATCACTGTTGCCAAAGGCCATCGGGATCGCTGCAGCCTGACACCCCTTGGCCCCACGCCCGGTCAGAACTCTGATTTGTAAATTATACTGTACTAACTCTGTGACTTCCATTCACCTGAACAGAAATAAAAGAAACATTGGATTTAAAAAACAATTGCGGGCTAAGTTTCCGATTCCTTTCTGTACCCACACCGTCCTGGGGACGGGGCACGCTGCCTGGCTCTGGGGAGCGGCTGCCTGCGTGGCTGAGAATCGCTGAGAAGCAGATGATGGGATCTTGAGGAAACAGGGAGGTGGACTTTATGCAGGAATAGCAGGGCGCCGTGCTTCAGGAGGACAGAGGTGGGGGTACGTGTGAGGCAAGCACACAGCCATGCCCAGACTCTGTGGGAGACTGACGACTGTTCTGCATACCGTGCTTTCGGGAACCAAAAAACCACAGCAAGCCCGCAGCAGAGAGCAGCATGCGCTGGGCTGAAATCCCCTCTCCCTCCTCAGCGCAGCTGTGTTCCTGAGCGCTGCCCAGTCCAGCTGCCGCCGAGAAGTTGCTGATGCACACAGTCACGCTGACCTGCAGCAACGCCGCAGGCTCGCGCTTGCGCAAGGCCACGCGGCTGCATCTTCCTCCCCGCCGTCTGCCAGCACAGCCGTTCCCCGCGTGGCGGGGACGGGGGCGGGGCGCCGGAGGAAAAAAAAGTTGGCATCGAGCTGTCACAAGAAACCTCCACCTCTGCGTGGACAGAAAGGAGTGACATTTTTTATCAGCAGATTGCTGTACTCTGAGGCATAGCATAGGCAAAAGGAGACTCTGCTTGATCACGCTGTGGTGTGTTTCATCTCTAATATTGTTAAGCAAGAAGGGATCTGGTGCATGGGTAGGATTTTGCAACAGCTTCTGTTACCAGTTACATACAAATTTCTCCTGCCTTCTGGCTTTAGGCAACAGGTGGTGCTGACCCCTCTTCGGGTACAGGCACAGACCAGCTCTCCAGACTCAGGATGCCGAGAGTCTGGGAAGAAGAGGTGGGGACAATTTGCGCTTGTGTTTTTTTCTCTTGGCCTAATCGTGGGGATTGAATTTGTTCCCACCAGGGAAGTCTTTTGTCATGATCTCTCTCATTTCCTCACTTCTCTTCTTGTCAATGATCTCCATCTCGTGCATTTTCTGCAAAGCACAAAGGGGAAGGGCTGAGCGGGGAGAATGCCGGCAGCTTTTTTTTTTTTTTCCTCTTTTGCCAACCCCAAGAACAAAGATTCTATTTCCCTGATTAAGTTACACGCAGAGATGGAGAGAAGGACTGAAAACCTCTAACCCCCATTCCCCGAATTCACACCCATCCCATGCCATGAAGGGGAACACTCGGTTCTCTGCCCCCCCCTCCCCTGCTCAGGTACGGGAGAAGACTCTGTTTTAAGGTCTCTGACACTGGGGATTCCCTCCACTCGCTGTACAGCCAACGCCACCAGGACACTCGCGTACCTGTGAGATTTCAGTGAGGATGATGCTTTGATACTTCTTGCCCTGTCCTAGAGCTTCCATCTCTGCCAGGAACTCCCTCCTCTCCTGAATTTCATTCACCACTGACACATAAGAGAAAACACTGTGGAAACAGGATTCAGCCGAAAGGCAAGAAAACACTTTTCTGTCTAGATCTGAACCCCCAATTTCCTAGCCCTGCTTGTGCAGCGGTCCCACCACGGGAAGGGTGATGTCTGCTGTAACACTCACCTTGAGCACACCATCAAAATATCTCAGTAGCCCCTTACGCAATGGGAAATATCCCCCCCCCCATCTTCTTGCCACCCCCCCATCTTGGAGGAATGGTGACTTTCTAGTTTTCTTTGTACAGACAATTCTCTGTTACTTGTGGGCAATTTAACCGGTCTATGGATGGAGACAGAACCTGCATAGAGCCCTTGAGGTTCATTAGTCAACCTGCATTGCCCAGTGACCACAGCGATCTCTGCTCCCAGGACAGCACAGGCACAGAACACTAGCTGCTGCTTTGCAGCACAAGACCTGCAGCGGGCTGGTCCCCCCTTCTTGCCACAGCAGAAAGTACACGGGTATTTCAGATGCGTCAAAGACAACGCTCAGCTTGTGACAAGTTTTGGAGGATACAAAGCACGCGTGAAGCCAGCTGCAGCCGCTTCCCCGCAACAGGGACCGGAGCACCCCTTCTGTCCACGTTGTTCTAGTATTGTCCATCTTTGCACTGCCCTGGCTAGCGAAGGGCTGGCTGGGGGGTACACACACAATGAAGATTCAAGCACAGAGAGATATCAGGCAGGGTTTTGCCATCCCAGCACACTCCACAGGCCAAAGCCCATCCCTGCTTACAGCTCTGCTCGACGTTTAAGCTTTGCTAGTGTAACTGCTGTGATCTTGGAGTAAAAGAAAACTGAGCCCAAACCATGGTCAGGCTGGCAAGCATCCTAGTCTATGTTGGGTTAAGCTGCTGGAAAAAGGACTCGCAGGACCTGGGCTTCCTGCCCAGGTCACCCCTGCACGTCCCTGGGGTATTCCCCTGCCAGCAGAGTTCATTTTCTGCAGGCAGCCCAGGGAGCTGCAGCCTGCCAGCAAATCTCTGCAGGATAAGCTCCGCGAGGACGGCTGGATTGTAGCGTTGCAGCAGCAAGTCCTTTCTCTTGGAAACTGGGCTTTGTGCCTCCTCCCACAACGGGCTTCAGGTTACTGGCAACGCAGCCTGCCACCCCAGCCCTGGGAGGGAGTCGGCTTCCCAGGCCTCCCGCCTGCCTTCCTCCAGGGTACATGAAGACGTACGTTCTTCAAACCGGTCAGGCTCAGGAGTCTCCTCTTCCTTTGTCTGAGCCAGTGCCTGCTGCACGTCGGGCTCTACCTCATCTTTCCCTGTAGCTAAGATGTTTTGGAGCCTTCGCTTCTCCTTTTCCAAATCACCTGTGAATGCCAGGGGGAAAAAATTTATTATCAGCCTGTCTCCTCAGGGAGCAGCCTGGCCACACCACTTCCCTGCGGATGACACCAGAGGAAGCATCACATTAACAACAGCACGTCTCCAGACCAAACTGCACGAGCACGGCGCAGGCATATCCATGGTGAAGAGCCAACCAAACTGACGCCAGAGGTTTGATTCACATTTATAAGCTAGAAAATTACATAGCGCTCCCCTCTTATGCAAGGACGGTGTGAGTCCCTGTCACCCCCATAGCCAGCGGGCAGAAGTCAGTGAGCACTTAACGGTAGCTGTTCTCTCAGAGACCCCTTCTTAAAGGATCTCTGAAGACAGAAAGCGAGGACAAAGAGCAATTAAGACACTCCCTGCCACTACTGAGATTGCAGGCGGGGCATAAGGGGAAGAGAGGGACCGAGTGGCATCATTTATTTATTTATTAATGGTGTTTGCTGACTTACGTCTTGCCTGTGGCCTAAATTTCTCTCGGGCGTAGGCATCACCGGCCTGGCAGACCTTGGCAGGGCGGAGATGGGGTTTAGCTGGAAGCCTGCTCGGCTGACGCACTGCTGGGGAGGAGGCAGGCGCTGCGGGCGCTGGCTCTTCGCTGGGTGCGGGGTGGCACTGGAGGGGCAGGGTGTCTCCTCCTGGAGAAGAAACCGAAAACAACAGTTGGCCAGACGGACAGGAGCCTGGGCGGCCGGCCGCAGGCTAACGCTCACAGCAGCTCTGCCTGTTGACACCCTGT